GGTTGTTGTAGCGAAGCTCGGAGAGACCTATATCCAGTAATAGACGTCTGTAAAGTAAATCTTTTCTGCCGTGAAGCAGTAATGGGTTTCAGTTTGAAGGGTGGGGCAGCCGTTGTAACTAACTATACTGAGATCTTAGAACGTATCTCAAGTTGGGTGGCGCATTTACGTTGTAGATGTCTATGGGCTCCAGTAACCACTTAACACCAGGTGGGCTGTGAGCTCGTCCACTCATCTAAGCAATAAAAAAATAAAAAATAAAAATAGATAGATCGTCTAATTCAAACTAGTAAAAATTATAATTCTTGTGGTACTGCAAGTGTAGTTAGCATTTCCGTGTCTATTTCTACCGCAAAGCAGCAGTACGTTCAGCCTTAATTAATAAACTTAATCCTCCTGTACGGATAGGTACCACCGCCCTGCCTGTTTCTGCCGTGAGGCAGTAATTCGTTTCGGTTTGAAGAGCGCGGCAGCCGTTGTACTGTTAAAAGTGAGACCTTACAACTCATGTCTCAAGGTGGGTGGCGGCATTTACGTTGTAGATGTCTATGGGCTTCAGTAACCACTTAACACCAGGTGGGCCGTGAGATAGTCCACCCCTCTAAGCAAAAAAAAAAGTATATAGGTAAAAGTAAGTATGTAATGTGCATTAATTATTGTGACGAAAAAAAAAGACCAATATGTGGTAATCTACAAGTGTTCTCTGTATTATTAATATTGTAAATACGAAACCGAATTTGGTTTGCGACACGCTTTTTAATTTTTAAACTAATTTGCATTAAAATACACTCACTGACCGGTTGATGCAATGTTAATATATCGTCATTGAACTTGTAAACATTTTTGGACGTGTTGTGAAAGTCTTTCCGATAATCAAGTTGTTAAGTCTAAATATTAAAATTTCAGGTCACTACTTCAACTATGCTGTGAGATGTGAGATAGTCATATCTTTTAAATATATTTGTTTATTTCACTTCACGATAATGAGAAAGCAATAGGAAAAATTATTTAAGTTTAATTTCTTCACGGGAAATGGTGGAAAAGCATTACATTATATAACATAATTTTCTAAAATGTATTTTTTCATGAGATAGATAAGTGATTTTCATGCCGCTTGCTAACTTATATTGCAAATAGATAAACAACAATTTAATTTAGACACAGTATCAACAAAGCGAAACAAAAAATCTCTGTAGAGTCGAACGCCAATCTTCCTCTTCTCTGTCTACAATGATGCCATTTATAATGACCATATTGTAATTTCCTTTAAAAAGTCAATGCACCTTTTTCATTTTATAATGAGTTCCTTATAGTTTGGGGCCAGGCAATAGTGTGTGACTGGTCCCAAAAAAAAGTAAAAAATACATCACAATATGTTCACATTCACATAAGCAAAATAATTTTCTTCAGCTTTTCTCGTAACTTAATTTTTAATCAGTATAGATATTATAAAAAGTTTTTTTTTTAAATTACAACCATTTAATTTGTACGTATATCTATCCTATGCTTTAAACGAAATGCATTGTACACACTGCATATAAAAAAAAAAAAAAAAACATAACAATAATTTTCAGTCTTAAAACTCTACAATTGAACCCCGTAATATTTGATTCGTGTGTGAAACAGCTCCTTTCGTTCCATTCAATTTTCAAACAAAACTTTAATTTCCGTCACGAAATATCCACCGTATTGATGAAGCAAAACGTATTTTCCATCGCGACGTCGTATTTTCAATCCAGACCGGGAAACGTGCCGGCGAATATTTTTTTTGTGATTCATTGATTTATCCGTCAAGGAAACGCACGACTGAATTCAGCTATTTTTAAACGTTATAATCAAATATTAAGAATAACGGTATCCACCTCAATATAAATATAATATGGTTTAATTTCATGATGAATATTATCACAAAAGTACAAATATTTAATGGTGGTGTTTAAATACATATATCCAGCCCCAAAATGCCGCTTCTAATTGTTTATATTTTTGTGTCATAAGATAAAGCTGCTATTTAGATTTTATCGAAACTCAAATATTTTCAAAGCTTACGTTTAGACAAAAAAAAAACTAGTATGGATTACTTACTTCATATTGAAAATGTACTTCTTTGGTTAGAAATTTATTTTATTGTGAAAAGTAAATATCATGTCAGTGACGTTTTTTATTTATTGCACAGACAAAAGAAACGAGCTAACAGACCATCTGATGGTAAATGATTGCCCCAGTCCACAGACATCACAACGGGACTACCATAGTGATTAAGCAAATAATATTTTTTTGCTGGTTCGACTTTTATTAGACGATGTCCTTCCTTTTATTTATTTATTGCTTAGTTGGTTGGACGAGCTCACGGCCAACCTGGTATTGAGTGATTACCGGAGCCCATAGACACCTACGACGTAAATGCCGCCACCTACCTCAAGACATAAGTTCTAAGTCTCAGTTTTAACAGTACAACAGCTTCCCCACCCTTCAAACCGAAACGCATTACTGCTTCACGGTAGAAACAGGCAGGGTGGTTGGTACCTACCAGTGTGGACTCAAGATTTCTTAGCACATCGTCCTTCCTTCGTCGTGGAAGTCATTCGTGAGTGAAGAGCGTGTTTTATTAGAAAAAAATGAGTGTCTGTCTGCAGGAATCTAACACCGGATTAGGCACATCGCTCGATACCTAACATCTATTCTTTAAGTCTTCTTTTTACTGGTGGTAGAACCTCTTGTGACTCCGCACGGGTAGGTACCACCACCCCGCCTATTTCTGCCGTGAAGCAGTAATGTGTTTCGGTTTGAAGGACGGGGCAGCCGTTATAACTATACTGTTCCATGGGGAGTGCTCTGAGGAATTGTTCGAGATGATACCGGCATCTCGTTTTTACCATCGCACCGCCCGCTACCGGAGTAGAGTTCATCCATACTACCTGGAGCCACTGCGGTCATCCACAGTGCGTTTCCAGAGGTCTTTTTTGCCACGTACCATCCGGCTATGGAATGAGCCCCCTCCACGGTGTTTCCCGAGCGCTATGACATGTCCTTCTTCAAACGAGGCTTGTGGAGAGTATTAAGCGGTAGGCAGCGGCTTGGCTCTGTCCCTGGCATTGCTGAAGTCCATGGGCGACGGTAACCACTCACCATCAGGTGGGCCGTATGCTCGTCTGCCTACAAGGGCAATAAAAAAAAAAAAAGACCTTCGAACTTATATCTCGAGGTGGGTGGCGAATTTACGTTGTAGATATCTATGGGCCCCTCTAACCACTTAACACCAGAACACAGGTCTCATATCAAAAACTTACGAAACTTGTATTTATCTCTCGAACGATTTAAACGAGCCAAACCGATAAAATCGAACGACTATTGTTTTCTAGACTAAAATTGGTAAATATAAATATTGTTATAACTCAAAAATTAGGCAAACCGATTAATTGGCTAGATTTATTGCAGACGGTTTCGTAATTTCAATTAGGTTTAATAGTAATAATACAAAGTGTTTTATTTCTAAATATCTTTTATTTTTAAATAACCTTGGCAATACGACCTGCGAAAATGATTACTTCACTAGCCGTTGTAAAAAACTGGTTTATAAGATAAAATGTCAATCGTTTTGTATCCTGTTGTGAGTAAGAAATTATAACGGACATACTATAAAAATCTTAAACACGAACTTAAAAGTATTTTGAAAGAAAGTTCAGAATAATATCTATATTTTTATTTATTTATTAAAAACAATTTAGATAAGTGTACGGGCTCGGTGTCAATCTGATATTGAGCATTTACTGTGCCCATTAGGAACACCAACGAAGAAGCCACCGTTCAGCTTTAGATATGAGATCGAGCACTCAATTGCACCGGCACACGTATGCAAAACGCAACATCGTTGAGTGGCCAAAGTAATACCGAGTTGTGGGGACTCACAACATTCCAATAATCCTCATTTTGGGAAAAACGACTATCGATTCAGAACCGATTATTCGAATTCCAAAAAAATTCTCTAACACTAACTTACCTAACAAGTTTTTTTAACGAACACAAAATTTATTTGATCTATAAAATCGATTCACTACAAAAAAACTGAGGTCTTGAACTTTGCTTGAACGTCAAACTGATTCGAAGTCTGTGCTTAAATTTCTCAACAAACAAAATTATATAGAATGGAATCGTTTTACTCACGCTCGGTGTCGAGAGGGAATTCGTTTCAATACAAAAAATAATAAAATTACGCAGCGCGTCGTCTATTTTCTTTGAGGCAAGCACTCAATAGTGGTTTTTATGATGGTTTTTGCGCATCTGTGCAGCTGAGACGGCCGGCGTACACATGGCACTTTCGTTGGACGTATTGAGCCCAAATGTGCACACACACTTGTGCGGCTGACATTTAATTTTCTCTTTCGGAAGGTCAATCAATCTCAACGTAGTGTAAGGAAAAGTTAATTGTATCATATACGTTTTTGGGGAAATATTAGTACACAAACTAAACCAATTAACGGTCTTTCAAAACACTAATTATATAAATTATATATCAATAATTACATTTCTATTACAGTTAGTTACATTCGGTTATAAAATAAACTTAAAAACAATAATAAGCATAAAGTCGATTGAATTTCATAACTGAATACAATTAAACGGTGAAATCTGAAAATAATTACAAAAATTGAAGTGTCTTAAGTTGTATTTCGTAAGACACCCGTTGTTTCTCCAAACTAACTTCGACAATGAATGATTCTGCTGATTACTCTAAATAGATAACAGTAGTATTGTTTAGTCGTTGACCGCTTTATTTTTTGCTGTTCAAAGCGAATTAAGTCGTTTACTGCTATTATTAGAACATTTTTTTGCGGAGACAAGGGCAAGGACGATTACGACAATCGGCGACAATGTCTCATATCATAACAATTAAATTTGTTACCATTTTAGACGGTTAACGCAGATTTCCTTACAATCGATATTTTGAATTTACGTTCCTTACATAAAAAGTATTGATAAAAACATGACTTTATACTCACTGTAAATTTTAACAGCACTTTTACAAGAATGCGGACTATATATAATATGCGGAGAGACAATGTTCGGACTTCTTCCGAATATCGGGAATGTGAAAAATCCAGTCGATCGCACAGGCACACCACTTTGAAAATCAAGTTAGCACTTCACGAAAGCCCTACTCAACGGGGTCCGAGTCTAAACCCGTTTCCGAGGATGCAAAATTCCGGTTCGAGTAGTTCACTAATCGCAATCGAACGCGACTAATCGAGACTGTTCCAATTCAACAGAATACGGGTTGAAAGGAGAGTCTAATAGGAATGTTTCGGGAGTTAACTTTTTTCGCGATCTCGGAAGTTCGGCGTCGTGGCGCCATGCGGCACATGCATCACCGTCGGCAGCACGGTGCGGACTGGCCCGAGATCTCAGCACTAGCCGAGTGTGCCATTAAAGCCTCCACGTCTGTACACGGATTTACGTTTGTGTGGCGGGCTTGCAGATTCCTCTACCACGAGAACGATGCGATGCGATACACTATAAAGTTAAATCTCCATTACCGATTCAGAATGTTTCGTAATGCGGTTTTTAGACTCAAATAAAGTAATGTAAAACAAATTTCTTGTATATTTGAAGGCTCTCTGGTCTTGAAAGATATTGAGTATATGTTTCAAGTTCTGAGGCTCTGCTCATTATTGTTATGGGCCCGCAGTCTGGTGCAGGGTTTTATGGAATCGGTTTTTTGCTCTTGCTTTCTGGCGGCGCCCAAGGGAACATCGTAAAGACACGGACGCTGAACTTTGACGGTAATCTCATCATCAGATATTTATAAATTTTCTTTATCGTTTTAAAATGATTCGTTGTCTTGTAAAATGAACTTTGAATGACTTTATTTAAAATGCTCTACAATCTTAGTGTATCAAGTAACATTTTGAATGTATTATTTAAAATGTAGTATTTATATATTGTTTAATGTTATTTAAATAACATTAAACAGGACCTTAAGGTCCTAAGACCCCAGATGGGACATAGAGCTTCAGCGATCGATCTTGGGTTTGGCGCTTGACTTCAATCCAGGTTAGCCCAATTGTCTTCATCACCGCTGCCAGTGTTCATCCAGGTCTGCTTGAGATGGCCTACATTCCGCTTATCCTGGGGGCCCAATCCATGTCAATGGTTTTCACTTCCAACATTTTCATAAAGATTTATCGGAGCTTTATAAGCCCCTTACAAGAAGACTCTCAAAAAGTCAGGATAAGACCATAGGGATAACACAAAATGCTTATTGTATTTATATCCCTAAATAAATAACAACATGGACATTATTCTAATGTTTTTTATTTATTGTTTGTGTAGAGCGTACGGCCTATTCGGTGGTCGCTCATGGACCTCAGGATGAAAGAATGCGATTGTAAAAAGGAAATAACAGGGTCATCTGAAATAATTCCTCGGAGCACTCCCTGTGGAACATAAGACACAAGATAAAGAGGATAGAAGTTCCTGAGCAGGTTCTAAATGATATGTCTCACAAAGCTTTAATACGTAGTATGGTTTTTCATGTGTTAGATTCTTAATTTAAATATAGAGATCGGTATATATTTTGTGTCAATGTTCCTATAACCGCCAGAAGGCGATGATCGACTTCTGCGACCCAACTATCTCGCACAAGCAAGCAGCAAAGTGAGAGAGCGAAATATCTACTCTTGCCGCTAAGATCCGCCCTCGCTCAACCAGGTCCGGAGTAGGGATTTTGCCTAGCTCAGGGCTGTTTCAGATCCAGCAGAATGTTTTAAAACACCAGCGTCACCAGAATTCTGGATTGCCTAGCAGGCCGTCGTCGTACCGAGACGACAGATGTAGAATCGTCAACTCCCCTCGACGACACCGCCGGGCGTCCTTGGGGTGAGCCCCACGTCTGGTTGCAGTATTGAAAGCGGTAGCCCCTTGTACACTTGTGTATCCCCAGGTGTTTTTTAGCATTCGGAGTTTGGGTATACCGAATATTTTTAATATATATAGACAGCTAACTTGGTGTTAAATGGTTATTAGAGACCATAGTCTCAAAGCTGGGTGAATTTTTGGTGGGCAGCGGCTTGGCTCTGCCCCTGGCATTGCTGACGTCCATAAGCGACGGTAACCACTTGCCATCAGGTGAGCTGTATGCTCGTCTGCCGACAAAGGCAATAAAAAAAAAACTGTACATCGCAACATCGTAATTACAACTAATTTTACAGTTTGATCTCGTGTTTTTTGACACGTACTTCTTAGCCATCCATGGATTCACCGTGCGGGTACCGGATCCATCGTCCATGCAGAAAAAGAATAATTTATACGAAGAATGCCAGCGGACTTACGACCCTGGTGTAGCTTTAATGTACCCCTATCAGAGCGCATTACGATCACCTCCATTCTCCGTATTGCTCTGTCTGTCCAGCCAAATTTGGTAACATACCAGTGCGGCTTTAGATGTTCGGTAAATTATTTCTGACGTAATTAGTACTTTTCACAGATTTACAATTCTAAGCTCCATTATATTAATCATTGAAAATCAAATCAAATCAAATCAAAAAAAAATTATTCAACATAAATGAAAGTACATACTTGTTGAACGTCAAAAAGAACTACCGCCAATTCACAAAAACTAGCCTCCGTCCTGAGAAGAACTGGCAAGAAACTCAGCGGGCATATTGTCTTTTTTCTTTTTTTTTCATATTAGATAAAAAATAAATAAATATTAATACTTTACAGTTATCGCGATTGCTGTTGTGACCGTTTTAATTAAGTCTACGATAAACTGAAGAGAATACTACATCACGAACTCTGATTTATATTTATTTTTGCATCACGCAAGCACAGTTAGTTTATTTAAGAATTTTAGCCGAAAATCTCATGATTTGCATAACATCGCAATTCGCACGAGGAACGTATCACACAATACTCAGCCGTGATCAGCGACGTGACGTGACACGCCGCCGTGACCCTCAACGATGAAATGATAATTCTCTGCGAACGCTTTTACTAGAAAGGCGAGCATTTTGCGTAATTTTTGATTTCTTAGTCTGATTTTAGCACGCCTGCATACCGACTGAAAACATAACGGAATTCTCTCAAACCAAAATTTCGACATGCGGAAGTCAGGCGGAAGACATCATAATCCACTGAATACATCCTTCTGGCTGCCTATAACGCCAACAAAACAAAACAATCAAAGACCTTGGCTGATATTTTCTCCTGTCTTAAATAAGCTAAAATCATAGGTTTGGGAATTAACAACGTAAGGTAAAATCTTCCATCAAGCGGGTGAAATTGCTCGGTAGACTGACGGTCCGAATGTTGCTGTTCGGAACTTGTTTATATGCAAGCTTATCTTTTTTTTTATCGCCCGTATAGGCAGACGAGCATACGGCCCATCTGATTGAGTGTGGTTACCGTCGCCCATGGACTTCAGCAATGCCAGGGTTAGAGCCAAGCCGATGCCTGAAAATGTTAAAAATGTCATAAGGAAGATTCAGGCATATATCAAATATGTTGTGTTCTAAGATGGCTACACGCTACAATAGGCATAAGATACAACAAGAACAAATGTTTACGCCCAGACTGCGATTGGCTGGAAATCACACTCGGGTCCTGCGGTACTATGCTCATAGTCAATACGTACTTTTGATAAACAACGCGATTATACTCGTAATACGAAAAGGCACTTATTACTGGTGGTAGGACCTCATGTGAGTCCGCACAGGTAGGTACCACCACCCCGCCTATTTCTGCCGTGAAGCAGTAATGCGTTTCGGCTTGAAGGGTGGGGCAGCCATTGTAACTATACTGAGACCTTAGAACTTATATCTCAAGGTGGGTGGCGCATTTGCGTTGTAAATGTCTATGAGCTTCAGTAACCACTTAACACCAGAAGGGCTGTGAGCTCGTCCACCCATCTAAGCAACGTAAAAAACATACGTATTCAAAGAAATCTGTTTTATAACCTACCGTTGAAATCCGGTCAAGCTTCGTTTTGACTATGAATAATTATCTGAAGAACACTGATTTCTTTAAACCACTCATACGGCACCTACACTACGTAGGTTTGATGGTACTATGACAGAACTCTCTAGAATGCCAACAACAACTGTACCAAGTTACGTCACAATTGACTTCGAAACGCTGAGAGGACAAGCCATTTATAAAAATTTTGTTTTTTTATATATAGATAGACAGATAAATACATTTTCAACAATTCTTCTTAGCGCATCATACCACCTAATTCTGTGATGAGCAAGACTTTAAAAGAAGTTAGGAATAAGAACACGTATGAAAACTAAAAAGGATTTTAAACTTTAGGAACTACATACATCAAAAACATTTATTCAAAACCAAATCTCACGACCAAACCTCGCAGTAGCGCTGGTAAGTATTGTAGTGCAAAATATCGTTTCTCTCCCACGGTTCGCATTTCAATATCAATCCCTTTGTATTTATTATACATATAGTTTATATACAACAGCGTATTGGTTAGCGGATGAACTAGAATTAGGTAAGTGGAGTCGTTGAAGCTTTCGAAGAAAATATTTAGTAATTATTCGAGTGTCGCGCGCCGTTAAATTCATCATTTGCAAACATTTTATTCAATATTAGCTGACCCGGCAGACTTCGTAGTGCTTCAATCGATAAATAAAAGACCTAAACTTCTGTATAAAATTAAACTTGAAACAAACAAAAGGATTCCGTCCGACGGGGGACACATCAAAGGAAAATCAAAATTGTTATTTTTATTTAATTCCGAGCATTTTCATATTTATATACCTTTTAAACCTTCTCTGGACATCCATAAATAATTCAAGACCAAAATTAGCCAAATCGGTTCAGCCGTTCTCGAGTTTTAGCGAAACTAACAGCAATTCATTTTTATATATAGATTTATCCGGAATGCGATATTTTTAATACGCTTTTATTAGATTCATACGTATGTTAGTATATTATAACGGAATCTTTGAATATGATTTTGACCCCCTTCAAAACGTCGGATTAACTCGAAATTTGGCATACTTATTAAGGATCGATGACAATTCAATATTGTAAACAGTTTGATCCGTTATTCTTACTAGGATAATCAGGATTAGCGATTTTTTGTTTTCCTGAGTCCCGGAGTGTCTGTGTCAAGACCAAGAAGGGAAACTACCAGACGCGCCGATCACCTATTTTTCGTATAAGTTACCGACTGATTCAGATGAATTTTTTGAAAAATTGAAAAAAAAAGATAAATGAAATGAATGAAATTCAACTAAATAATGAAAAATAAATCATATGTAGTTTAAAAAAACTAAATAGTTATAAATATTTTGATCACATCCTGAAAAGCAACCCACGCTTTTTTTACGCTTCTTATACTTTTTTTAATTGAAATTTATTAAAATTTATTTT